ACATTATTTTTCTCGGAATTCTTAAAATAATTGTAAAATATGAACGTCATATTTAAGCAAACTCTTTTAAATTCACTTTCTTTGGTTCTGTTCATTTTGAATCGTAAAGTACAAAGAAATCATTAAAAATTTAATTCAATTACCTTTATATAAACGTATTTTAATTGACTAAATTAATATTTTTTACTTTAATCCAGTCAGTTTTTAGATTAGAAAAAATTATTTACATCAAATGGCAGGCGTTTTGATGGTTATCATTATCCCTTTAGCTGACTTCGGGATTCACAGAGAGGAGGAACATCAAAGTGAGAGAAATTCGAGAGGGGAAGCAGGAGAGTGTTTCAAAGATGTTAAAGTGACAAACATACGCAAAGGTAGAGGTAAATGAAAGGTGAGTATTGTGGAAGTTGTAGAATATGACATACAGTGGGTTGATGGTAGTTTGAAGTCAGAAGTCAACTGCCAGTTAATAGACTTTAAAGCCGCATGAGTATATGTTGCCCAGGGTGTACCACGTGGAGGCAAGTCTATCGCTCACCCCAAATTAGAAATATTAAGCTCCCCTATTGAATGTTTTCGGGTTCTGTTTGAACAAACAACTGAAATTCCCACCATAATGGAATGGTGGTTAAACTTTAAATTTTTCATATACCATTGACTAACTGCTAGACATTCCGTAGAGCTCAGTAATTTTAGTGTGGTTCTCGTAGTTTTTAGTATAAATCTATTTTAGAAGCAATTACCATATTTCAAGAAGGCCAAAACTGACCGCTTAGCAACAAAGCATAGGTTTTAGAAATTTTCAATTTATTAGGAATAAATATAGTAAAAAATTCAATAAACAAATGCTACTATTTTAAGGTCTGATTAAATCACAACTTAAGTCCGTCTTTAAACACCAAAACACGGTAATGTAATAAACAAATATGGCGTGCGCTTTTTCAAAGCAGATATTGGCCATTATTAAAACGGGATCAGATGACCTTAAAGCATTGGCTTACATATCAGCTCACAAAAAGCATGAAAGGTAATAAGATCTGGAATTTATATTGGGATTATGTTCTCAACTCATCGATTGCCATACTTAAAGTAACTACCTAAAAATAGCAGTCATTGTAAGGTGAGCTCACTTGATGGAAAAATTTTTGTTGCCTTTAGGATTAATACTGACTACTGGAATTAAATCTAGTTACTTTGACGATTGATACCCAACATTCGGCGCAGTTAGCACTTAATTACCCGCCAAATATAACTCCCAAAGGCTGTCGAGTGTCATTAGACATTAACGAAGGAGAGAAATTGCTCTAAATGTTTTTTTGCCTTTATTCCTAGTTTCATTAGATTAGTATTTCTTAAGTTTGAAGCCCTATTTAATTGAAATCCCATTTAGGACTCTTAAATTGAGAAGTGGGGATTATCTCTCCTTCTTATTTTTAGTTCATCGAAAAAATTTTTACACCCCCCTTCCCTTCGTTTCACATTGTTTTTATTGAACGCGGCAAAGTGTGTGAGTGTGTGTGTGTGTGTGTAATTGTTTTACTATTGGGGAAAATAAGCTTCACTTCGTGTCCTGCAGTTGAAATATTGACCCCATTTTGAGATGAATTAACTTAAGCTCCTTTTATACCACTTTGTGCAGTCAATTCAATTAATTATGTTTTCCTCCTGGCGCAATCTAATGAAATGAGAATAAGAACCGATGGCTGAGTCATAATCATGAGCTCAATTGGAACGTTATCATGCGCAAAGCACAAAAGAGAAATTGCAGTTGGGTGATATTCAGTTCACTAGAGGCTCCTTGATGCTGCGAATCTCGAATTGATTGTCACATTTAAGCGAAGGAATAGCTAATCCAATTATGTTTATAATCATCTTAAGCAATTTGATGGTTACAAGGAGAGAATTTCATTTCAATCATGAGTTTAAACATTGGCATCCATTCTCTTATTCTACAACACTTTTCATACAAAATAACTCATGAAAGATCGAAAATGTTGAAGCGTGTGGTAGCCATTAAACTTGAGCGCGTTAAATTCGCGCAAATTTAAATGAAAATTTAGCAAAGAGGTAGGACTGGAAGCTGATAACTTGGTTTGAGTGTAAATGTCAGACAACTGACCAGTGAATGATCTTTAGAGAAGCGTGAGAAATAGAGTAAGTTGACCACTTATTCAAGCGTTAGTTAATGTGATTGTGTAACCACGGCTGTTTGAAATCTTAACTCCTCTACTTATGGAATCAACACACAAATATTTAAACTTGAGGTGTGTGTGTATGTGTATGTGTGATTCTTCTGAAATCGAAGTCATGAAGATATTATCATAAGAAAATAGATGATAAAATGTCTGCCAAGTTGGTTGCAATGAAAAAAACGGCCATTTCAATTTTTTGACGCCCGGTAACGTAGAAACCCTGCCAAATGAATTTGAATTTTACAACCGGTTTAACAAAAAATACTGCTGTTTACCTCGGCTTGCTTTTAGAAACGTGGGCTAACCAAATTTTTATTCGCAATGAGTTGGTTCACAGTACAACAAATTTATGTAGCACCCTAATATCACAACGATATCAACTAAATATTCTTACCACGCATAACTATCCTTAAAAAAAACAATACACTTTTTTAGATAAACATTGCAATTTCGCAGGGTTGGCCGGTTTTCTTTAAAATTTTAACAAAATATTTCCTTCTCTTTGAATCAGCTTCAAATAAATAGTTGCGTCTGCAAGCACACTTTAGCCTGTATTCAACGCCTCAAAATAGGCAGAAACAGGCCATTTCAATTATGTAAAAATCGATACACATAAACTTTTTGTCATGAAAGTCTCTCTGTAATTATTCACCCGAGGCTATCTTCAAGCATTTCTACCCAGAACCAGATACAGTTTATTGATATCTTTTTGAGTTTTGTGGTAAAAGAAAATAGTAGAATGCTGTATTGTAAGTACAAATCTAATTTTGCAGATCCCTTGAACAACATTGCCTTGGCGATACAAAGTTTCCACCCAATAACTTGCGAAATTTTTGTCAAACTTTTTCTTCAATCACACTGCGATTATAGGCATTCTGTAGCGGATTGCTACACTAGTAAAGCCTGACTGACTCAGAACTCTCTATGACAGATTCTCCTACATCTAGCTAGACTCCCAGAACCAGGGAGATTCTCCTACATCTAGCTAGACTCCCAGAACCAGCCAAGCTATAGTCCAGCTATCAAGGAAACAGACGTGCAGACGGAGCACGTCTATTCAGTACGGGTATTGCGGATAACGTGTACACGCATGGAGCTACTCATGATCAAGACGGGGGATTAGGTTAAACAGAGGTTGATGATTGGTCACCGTTTGTACGGTCGCTGCACACAAAGTTGTACGGCCGCACCTCCCAAACCTGGCAAGCAGACAGGCAGACATACGATGACGCACACAGCGATAACGTGTCCCACAATTCTCGCTGGGTGATCAAGATTAATGGAGGCCCTGTATCCGATACAACGCTGAAAATTGAATTGAGCCCTCATGTGGGGTCAGGAAATACTCTGTTTTTGGTGCTTTTAAATAAAAATATAATAGTAATTAACCTCTCTATATTTCTTTAATTCTAGTCGTAATGGGTGCTCTTTTATTGCTTCTTTATTTCTGTAACTCAGCCATTTGATACCATGGCATTTAAAAGAGTGAATAGCGTATCATTAAAGTGAAGTTAATTTTTATATATATCGCAAAAAGAATAATTCTCAATTGGCAGTAGTAAAATTCCGTTCAACGTCTATTGTTCCCCGACCTAATAAATTGTTCCAGAGTAGTGAATTCTAGAGCATTAAAATTACTGGCAATATTTCCTTCGGCGGAGTCAAAACTGACTTTCGAGGGTCAGCACCGCTAACCCAAATGTGCAGTTCAAGGGATAAAGTGAATTTAAAATGCCCTCGCGGATTTTGAAGTAAACACTCCAAGCTCAATTAAAGCTTTACAGAATGCCTGGTATGATGGTATGAAGAAGCACAAGTATGGAGAAGTTCAAACAAAATTATAAAACCCCACTTATCAGCGCGCATCTCGGCACAAAGTTGTATGGGATTGGGTTTGGTTTCAAAATAAGGCAGTAATATTCCCACCCAAAATAGATCATGTTTTAAAGGTTCTCCATTTTCCACCTTTTAAACCTCGCATTTGACTCTTCTATTCGTCCGAATTTCGTTAGGCGCATAAGACGAACTATCGATACTAAAAAGTGTGTGGCTCGGATTGGATTTATAACTAGTGTAACTTCTTAGGGAATCAAAGATTTGGTTGACGTAACCCACAAAGGTGAGCGGATCATAACTTGGTTCTATCTTTGCACGCCCATGTTAGTCTGCGTCCACCCCCCCCCCCTCCTCCTCCCATTAGTTGACGGGATTGCCAGTTTGGACTTCTTCGAGTCCTGCATCAGTAACGCAGTTGGTGGGTAAACGCTTGGAGTATTTTAAAATCAGTTAAAGGTAGTAATCCGATCAATGATGCCTGTTCAGCGAACGAGATTAATCTGTGATTTTATTTTTTTTGCTCGGCACAGTTTCGTTACCCACCCAAACCACATAAGTCTGCATACAAGCTGTGCATTCGGTAGATTGGCTACTTGCCTTAGTACAGCCAATGATGTATAACTGCTAGGCGTCTGACTAATTTAAACAACTTCCAATACTCAAATAAAAGCTCTCTTGATTAATTTTCTGCAATAGAAAGTCAGATCTAACCTCTATTGGCAAAACTAATAAAGTTTATAATGATTATTTGCAAAAGCAAAATTAAGAACAAAATAAGATAATGTTAATTTTTAATGGCAAATGAGTTTGTACAAAAGCATAGTCATGAATAAGTCTTAAGTAAAGAAATGCGAGGACAACGATTACATTGACAAGGAACAGTAAACGACTACACAATAATTTTAGACACACATCGGGAATAACATCCATTAAAAAAAGGACCGAAGAAGTAGGTCTTCATGTACAGGAACTTTACAATAGCATCCGAGTAAGGGAAGCTGATTCATTGCAGTTCGACTGATTTGAAGAATTGCTCACTGGTGGAGAAGCCATTGACGTGTAACCATTGTGATAAGAAGCAGACACTACGTGTATGAAAATAAGACTATTATTAACTCTACTAGGTCTATATAAGTAGACACGCCTCATAAAACTTGCCCGGTGTAAACGCAGCAATGGATGAGGGAAATACTGCATTGTTGGAGAAAGAAGGGGTCACATTTGGGCCAGAACTCGAAGCTGCTATAAATTAGAAAACATACAAGAATATAATAGCACATCTGCCAATTGGATCAATAGATCAATCCAGTAATTTGAGCATCCAACCCCACTGATTAACTGTGGTCCATAATAGGGAAAGCAGAAAACGAATTCTCTATCAAAATGAAAATCTGATACCTCCTTCGATGTGTCTCCAAGGCTGCCATTTCTTTAGTGATTTATGCAAAACTCCAAACTTCTGTAACTGTAAGTCAGGGATGAAAAATAGGACCTAAATAATCGAAATTCGATGCTATTTTCTCCTGAAGTACCACTCGAAGAAATTCTAATAGCAGTTGATTAACTCAAGTATAATTAAAAATATCTGAGGATAAGGGGAAATTGACAAATTCGAAAAGTCAGATAACGAACAGGTACTGTTGAACTATTAACCTTTAAGCGATAAGTAAATAGCCCAAACATTAGAACTAACAAGGTTGACTAAAGACAGGAAATATGGGGAAGATGGCGTGGGCGTTAGAAGATGAAAACGCTGGAAGCGCTGCAGAAGACGTAGACGGTTCCGCTGATGAAGAGGTTGCCGAAGCAGAAGAGGTGGGTGCGTTAGCAGCTGCTTTCGATTTTGTCGAAGATGTAGTGGTGAAGGAGGAATTAGAGGTGGAAGTGGTATTGGAGGGCCAAGTAGATACATTTTGACCTAAAAATAATACCATTTTTTGAGAAGACAACAAACCTTCCCGAACCAGCACAGTCGGTCGATATAACCTGTTTTCCGAACAGCCAACTGGGAACGTCATTGTGATGAAATCTTCACTTTTACCATCTGATGCTAAATGCACAAGTAAACACTCCTCCCAGTCCAACTCTTACACACAACGTTTTGAGGATCCCCCATTAATATCATGTCTCAAGTCAATCACCATACTGTAACTCTCACATAAACGGCTCTGTGTATGCCCACTAGGAAAGCCCCTAGTAGTCATTCTCTGGATCACCACAACTCTTATTCTTCTAAGTTGAGAAAAGTTATTGAAACCTATTAGTCTAACTCGGTCTGATTAAACAAAAGCACTTTTATCAGAGATTAGGATTATTTTAAGTACTTCTACCTCTGCTAGCATCTTCATCACATTGTCAAGTTTATTGCACCATCGATCTCGTGCAAATACGATGACATTTAAGCCTATGTCATTTAACATACTGTGAACTACTATAATTTCGTCCCACATAATAACAACGCCCACACACACACACTTATTATAGTTGAGAGAAGTAGGTGAAATTAAAGCGCGCTGCACACCTCTGGCTTAGTAAAGATAAACAGTGGAGAGTGGGTTAAAATAACTGCTGTGTGAGCAACAATCGATTGACGCCTAGGATACTTGCACAGGAGTTATAGATATAAGGCAAGCTAACTCAATTCCATTAAATGATTTAACGGAAAACGAAACCAAAGCCAAGTTAAACAGATTGGCCTGATTACAGAGACCCGCCAAACTGTAAAGCGTTCTAAGGGTACAAAAACCTCTCCACGTTTCAATCATTAGGTCTGGAAATCACAAGTCATTAATAAGGCCATTGTATGCTTTGTTACTAACACCAGCAGACATTGGCAAGTAGATTCCAATGTACCGACACTATTTCTTACGGTATGACTATTCGTTGCTACGTAAACACCAAGCAAACCTAAAGCACATTGAGATTTCAGTAAATTACCAACACGATATTCTGCCATCCCAACTCCATACGGACGTCTAGTCAACAAGCAGTTTTACTAATTCATATGATTAATTGCTATATCACGATTAAAACTTGAAAAGCCACTTTCTGCATTATCGTGAGTGACACCGATACCAATGTAACTGCAAAGTAATTCTGACCTGCAAGATTAGGAAATACGGGGAGCATATTTCGATCAATAGTGGATGTTGAAGTAGCCACTGAAGTGACAGGTGTTCCAGAGGAAGATGGAGTTGACGTGGAAACAGTGGCAACAGGAGGGGGTGATGATATATCCGCAGAAGTTGAAGATACAGAAGACGTGATACTGATTACATTATTCGCTGATGCATTTGTACTTGGAGAATGCGCATCATCCTGATGTGAAGAATGGGTTGACTGTTGTCTCTGATTTGTTGGTGACCGATTTAGAAGTGCTGAAAAAAACCGTTGATGTTGATAATTAAATCTAATTAGGGGAGAAATTAAGCAGGCTGAAAGGATAGCCCAAGCCAGAGCTTCATTCAGTGCGACGTCTTGAAGCCACAATTTCGGATGTAAACTGAAATACTTGAAACCAATTATGGCTCAAACGACTGACATGAAAGATACAATGCTTAAGAACCTAAATGAAGGTAGACACTTGACATTCTGACTCCGTTTTGAACCCCCTCCCATCTCCCCCCCGTCTCGTCATTACTGCATTATGTTGTCATTAGTAATAGCTGTAGCGGTTATATTCCCACACGCAGTCTTCATGTTGACCATCGGCATTATCGATATGAGGATGCATGCCACTTCCGACACCTTGAAATTATTTGGAACATAAAATATGCCATCAGTCTGAAGGCGTTGTTTCCCTTAAACATCAATAACATGAGTAAAAAGCTTATTCCAACATGGCTAGTCAAATATATTGGATTAACCGCATTAAAACTGCACATAAGTGCATCTTAGTAATACCTAGTGGGTAGAATTACCAGCAGTGCTACAACGCCAGTCAACAAAAGGTGAACAACTGAGGAGATACACAACTGCACGATTGAATTAATTAATAAAGATAAAAGATTAAGTGGTAGCTTGCTTCCTCACAAGGAACAACTCAACAGTATTGAGTACTTTTGCAAAAAAATTAGATTAAATATCTGAAAAATTTGAAATAAATTAAGAGTTGACTTAGTAAACTGCAAAAACTTATTGTGGTCGATTAACTAACGGCTATGAATTGTAAAGGTGGCGACAACGATATACAATTGTTTAAACTTGGCCAAATCAGACGTGCGATTTGTTGTGTAAACAGATGAATTTAAATTGGACGAGATTAAGAAAACCCGAACACCATCGTCCTTGCAAAACCATCAACTTCAAATTGCGGCTACTTGCCTTGGAAGCTCTTACAAGTCTGCAAAGCGATCCCACCCGTGACTGAAGTAACTTAGAAGCCATGATTTAGGTAGACTGAGGTGCCTTCAATTACCTTCCCCACCCCGGTAAATAACGTCTCGAATACCATTTTTACTCAAGCAAACCAATTTAGAAGTGAAAATGGACAGCGAAAAAAAACATTTCAGCTTCTCAAGACGACTAAAGCAGCCGAGAGCATGCGGTTGTCGTGAAAAGATACTAAAAGGGCTCACACGTGATTCCACGCCCCCCACGATTAACTAGTGATGACTCACACTACACACAAGGGCGACAACAAGCGAATTCACGCACACTTTTCGATGACGCATTTAAAAACACGGGATGCACAGAAATCAAAAGATCCCATTAAAAGAAATGTTTTGTCTTACCCAAACTACTGAATACAAAACAGCACAACAAGATTGATCGTGACAGCAACTAGAGTTTTGGACCGATAGCCATCAAAGCTGCTTAACTTAACATAAGGCAAACTTTGACAGGAATCGATTCGCGCTTAAAGTCTGCATGACTTTAGTACTTGGTTGACACGATAGGATTCGTTTTTGTAGGCACGAATTTCACAAACTAGTTCACATAACCTTTAAATTTGACATAATTTGCGGTTTACAAATCAACATATTGATTAACTGATTATATTGAGTAAATAGACGTATCACTTCAGAGACACTTCGCCTTCCAGTAGTGAAGGAAATTAGTAAGAAATGAGATCAGCGATTAGTGCCAGAAATATTTGAGTGGCTGAGATTTGGATAATCTTGACGATACACACACAAAAGATAAAGTAAGAAGTAAACTTAGGAATAAAAAAACTCACTTGGATGAGTCGTTTGCATGTGGCGCTGATAGTCCCAACGACGACTAAATTTTCTAGGACAATGCAGGCAACTGAATTCCCTGATGCCTGAGATTGTAAGCGAAAACAAATGGGTTAGGAAATACCGTTCTCGATATAATATCAAAAAGAAAATACCTCGAAACGTCCGGTCGATAAATCTGTATTTGGAGACCGTAATGCAATGAAACAGAAAGCAGAGTAGAGGCAAACGATGAAATCATCATCAAGGACGTTACTCATAAGAGTTATAGCCCAATAACGGAAAATTGTTCCGAGGTTCAAAATTCATGATTTGATCCCTATGCAGCCTTCTAATATTTCGAGGTTCAAGAATTCATTAGTTAACCCTCAAATTTCTGAATCATTTCATGCCTACTGTAACCAGAGCATATTGGCTGGAGGGATAAACAATGTCCTCTAAATTGCTGTCATTCTAATCACATCAGGGTGTGCAAACGCTAGTTTCAAGCCCATATAAGTTAATAAGGCACACGAGTGACTGATATGCCACCATTGCGCAAAAATAAAAAATGGAACAAAATTTTGACGATACTAGTTTACAATGCGATGTGAATCCAGCATCTTTAAAAACTACAAATAGCATTCCCAATAAAAAAATCAAATACCCAAAATATAGGCACAGCTACTAAGAGCAAATTAACTGTGAATAAATTTACCTTTCCCAATATTATATAACTAGTAAAGGCTATATTAAATTGAAAAAAAATGTTTATCAGGATGATAAATAAAATCAAGAGGCTGGGACACAAAAAGACTACCTTGATGAACAGTCATAATGTGACGAACAAGCTTGTCATTTCTCGAAAATAACCGGAAACAAGTTGCACATTGATGTCGCTTTATGCCTAGCATAAATATAAATAGATCGATTAGTTGATAAGTGGATTTCTCCTATGGGAGACTACAATATGGGCAAAAACTTACCATGGTGAAGTTCACTGAGATGACGTTTTACCTTATCCCTTCGATTGAAGATTTTTCCACAAAGCGAACACTCAAATAACTTAATAGGACCTAATATGAAAAAAACATTAAACAAACTCCTTCAAATAAATAAATAGACCAAAATCATTGAACTACGTACTTCCATCTCCGGGAAGTTCATGGATTTCACCATCTAAGTTGATGTTTGCCCTAGTACTTGTAATCTGTTTAGTAAAAAGGTTAGAATATAAATGACAATGCGGAAGAACAAGCATTATATCAAAATAGAAAATAGATACTTGAGACCACTGGCGTTGATAGGCACTAAAAGGAAAGTTAAAAGATGAATCGCCGGGTTCAAGTTTGATGGGTGGGTCTAAGCCAAGGGAAAATTGGCCATTCTGAGAACCATTTTGATTAAGAATTTGCTGTGGTGATTGATCAATAGACTGGTTATGTGACGATGAAGAAGAATTCAAGAAGGATGCTAAAAAAATAATAAATCAACATGTCACAGTAAGAAACAAAAGCTGTAGAACAGGCTTTAGCTTACTGCCATTATGATTGGGTTGAAATGCATGAGCAATGTGAGAAAAATCTCTGCTTAGATTAGATTCTTCCAAAACTAAAAGATTATTGTAAAAGTAAAATAGCCTACACTTTGAGACTGCAAGACCAAGTTTAACAATTTTGAGCAATTTGTCTGAGGCGACAGCGTCGCTGTTAGAATTAACCAACTTCTTCAAACTAATGGCAAATACTCCATATCCGTCGTGTAATAATTGACTAAAGATATTTAAATGGCAAAAGACAATCATACTTTATAACAAGAGGATAAATAAGTTCACAATCCTCTGAGGACATTATTCTGAAGATTCTGAAGTCAGCGCTCCAAACTATACTAACCAAAAGAATCGAATTTAACTCTATTCTTCTAGAGTGTTTAGAGAAATATGATTCAATTATTTTTTGTGTTTTCAAGATATTCAAAATACTTTCTGGAAAAATTTTAGGTCTATTTTGGATTCAAAAATTTAACATGCTATATCAAGTCTGCTGTGGAAAAATGGATGCGTTCATTACCGTTACAATTAAATAGCGGAAAGTAAGCCAAAAGTAATTTTCATTATTTCAACCAAACCGAATATTCAAATGGTTTAAAAATATAAACTAAAATGCGTAATTCATTATTATTTTACAATAACTCGAATTTATATTTGCACAGGTACATGTATACTAATATATTTGCTGAATTTCAGATATAATTTATTATTATCTCCTCCATTTGCATAATGTTTTCTTGCTTTAATCTTATTCACCTCATTACTTTTTCATTTCATTATCACAAATTCTAGACTTTTGTCATCTTATAAATGAGCTGAAAGTGTAAATATTGTCAAGGCGTGGGCTTTAAGTAGCATATATTTTATCTTCACTTATATCGTAAATTTGCTATGTATCCCATGAGTACATTTGTATTCAATATTGCTGCCATATCAATTAATCAATTTCTTTACGTTTATTGTGGAAATCACACCTGCCTATCGGAAGCAGGCGGTTATCGAAAGAAAGGAAATGGGCTATTGAAAATAAGCGGTGATAGATAGTTTAAAAATTAAAGTCAATTTACAGTTTGTGTGCACATTATATATCACAATATTGCGCTCAATTTTTTACTTCTAAAATTCCCTAATTACAAATAGAATAGCATAGATATTATTAACACACTAATTGTCAAATTCTCTAAACTGAGTGCTATGCTTTTTTCACGGATCGGTGTAGAAACCATTAGCGTGAGAGTCTATGACGCCGGGATCGGATTGTTCGCTTTGAAGTTAGATACGATGAAAAGGATGTTATAATATTTGAATTGTCAGGAATTCCGATTCAGTTAACTTGAACTTGCAAGCTTGGTTGTTAAAACAGAGTGGTGCATTATATCTCCTTTTATCAACACAATATAAGTGTTTGGTAAAATGCAAAATCCTGCCTTTGTTAACACCAAAGTTTCTCAACGTAGAGATTCCAAGAAGCTAATTAAGAACGAAAATGACAAGTTAACTATCTTTATGCTTGTGAATTAAATTACAACGCTCCCTTAAAGTGTATCAACAAACAATTTCCGAATCCGAAGATCGATACCAAATAAATTTGTTTGCTTTCATAATATTTTAATAAGAACTTTATGGGTTTCAGTATGATCAAATATACCAATTCTAATTTTCCGTTCCAGCCAAACATTAATTTACACAGCCAGACTCGGTTTTGACAATTACGACTGTTGTAGCGGACTGCTACCTTAGTAAAGCCTGACTGACTCAGAAATCTGTGGCAGTTTCTCCTACATCTAGCAAGACTCCCAGAACCAGCTAAGCTATAGCCCAGCTATGTAGGAAACAGACATACAGAACGGAACAAGTTTATTCAGTAAGTATCTTGTGAGCAAAGTGTACACTCAGGGAGCTTAATCATGATCAGGATGGCGGATTAGGTTAAATAAATGGAGGTTACTGATTGGCCACTGTTTGTACGCACCTCTCAATCCTGACGTTCAGGCATGCGATGACGCACTAAGCGATAACGTGTCCCACACAGTCACTTTTGCTAAAAAACATTAAGGCCTAGTTATATACAGCGTGCTTAATGTTAAACATGCTTGATTACATTGACAAAATATTCTCATGCATTTTCTCGGTAGTGAATATTTTAAGATTTCATGACTTCCTTTAAGTAAACGGAAAATTAAGTGTTTGGCATTAAATAACGGTTGTACTTAATATTTTTTTCACATACTCAGTGAGAAATTATAAGTAAGAGAGACATTTTGACGGTTTAGGACAATCACTGTAATTAGTATCATAAGAATGGGGCGATTTTCAAGGTTCATAATGTGGTCCTCAATTAATGCAATCCCATCCATTCCCTTCACGACACTCCCTTTTAACTTTTCCATTAGTATTGGCGTGAGAATAAAAGGGATTGTCTTTATTGACCACAAATTAGACAATCCTTAAGCCATTTCCAGGAATATCAATTTATTCAGCAGGTATCAGGACTGCGAAACAGTAATTTAAACAAATTTCGACTTTACTCTGAATATTTAATGCGTGTGCTCCTAATCACTTTGGCAAATTCAACGGTTCACCCCCGATATTTTAATCTAAAATAATCTTTCTGACCATATGCAAGTTCTGCTGTATTGTGTGCATAACGTAGAAACTCTAACTCCCCCTTCCAAATGCCACGTCTGAATTTCATGTCTCTTTCTAATAACCACAGATTCATCTCTAGTTTCGTAAAGAATAATAGTCAGTGCAATAGGATTTCCAAATAAATGAATAATTTTCCACGTGGTACGTCTGCAGTTACGATAATTATTAATATGCAGTTAATCGGATTAGTGTTCTAGTGAAAAAGTACTTAAACCCTGTCTATACTATTGCTCTATTGTTGAAAGTTAGTGCATATATGTATATATATACATTTGATTTTAGTACTCGAATTCTGCAACACCTACACAGAATAATGGATTATAATTTGGGCTACCACGTATTCAATTTGTGACTGCCTTGTTCGAGTAATACCAAGATTTATAGACTTCTTAATCCGTGCATTAACAAATGCAGCACCTCCACCTTCATTATGCTTTGTAGAAAATCATCAAGTCCCAAACCCCTTACCCACGATCTCCAGGCCACTTTTTCGACTTCTCCATTTGTGATTTGGTTCAGAAATAGAAGATTTGCAAAACCAGTGAGAATCATTGTATCCTCTCACACGTCCTATACAAATACATCCCAAATAACTGTATAAAAATGAATAACCCAATTGTAAATCCTAGAAGACCTCTCAGTCGAAGGCACGATATCTATCCGTATTCAAACAACGCTCAATTCGCAAGATGTCTCACAAGTTCGAACAAACAAAAAAACAACTAAATTCAGACTGCTCTAATGATAAACCAACAACCCTCCGAACAATAAACGAGATTTGAACACTAGAACTACTATAACACTCAACTAGCAACTTACTCAGGCACGGACTCTGAAACGAAATATGAAAACAAAAAAAACGAAATTTTAATTAATATGACGCATGCATTGTTTACACACATAAATAAAAAAATAAACTAAAATGCAATGAATACATTATTAGAGGGAGAGATTTAACATCGATAGAGATGTCTGCGAATTATAAAGAGGCGTATGGAAATGCGTCAATTCCTTCACGCATTCTCACTTTCGTCTATAGGCCGCGGCAGCACGGGCATACCAAGGTGTGTTGCCACCGTGGCGGTATTTTCTTCGCTTTCGTCGTTGTTGAGGGTCGCTCCCTTGCGACCCAGTATTAGCCGAACGCAGAGCAGCTGTTATTGATCGACGAGGTGAGAGGAGAAGGGTGTTGTTGGGACTGGATGAAACGCCGTTGGAGGCGGTTGGGAAACCGAACATGGGGTGACCGACTAGAAGGGGATGGATTGGCTCAGTGTTCTGCGGTGCTGGGACATAAACCTGACTTCGAAGTTCAGAAGGGCCTTTCAGGGGCGAGGAGATACGATGAGAATCTAAAACAAACGTGGCTGTAAGGCTTTCTATAATACTCTCTTTTAAATATCAAAAGAGTGGTAGAGATCTCGGTCACATTCTCTCCAAAAATGAGTTGATATCCAAAAGTGAAATGTCCAGATGCGCTTGTCGAAAATCGTTCGCTCTTAAACTCCAAATAAAACTTAAATGTACACCTGCAGTTATATCTCCGCGTCCTTGCTTAAGCTATATACAAACACACACATGCAACATTTACCTATTGGCGTAATACCTCTACCTTTCGCAATGTCACAACCCCCGTTAAATCGCTCCTATTCTCTTGAGGTGTTCTGCCGGGCTTGGGACTGTGGCTAGTAATTTTTTGTTTGAACTCAAATCGGTGGCCTTCGCTTATGGTATAATAGAATTATAACGTGAAAGGGTCTATTACCTATGATCATCTTGGCACTAGCAGTTAGGATGGTCACCCAATTTGATTATAAAGGTCAAAAGACGAGACGATGCAAATCGTTTTGTCGCTGAAAGTATAAACTTTTGCAACTTAAAATGTCGGATTTCTTACGCCAACTAACAAAAAAGAACTCAGTTGTGAAATGATTTATCCAAGGAATACATACGAATACAATCCTTCAGTCCTGAACATGCAAAAAAACGAAGCCTAGTTTTCAAAGATCAATTGGAAAATGGTAAGACAGTACCGTTTAGGATATGATCTGTACCCATCAATTCCAACATCACGTCTTTTAATCCAGCTCGATGCTTAGATCATGGCCATTTTACCCAAATGCAATGAAAGAATATTGAGTGAACATTTTTATGCCAGAATCTAGAGCTGGAGAACATCAGATTTATCGACCTTGAACCCCAAAAGTCCTTCGACGTGAAGACTATTTCCCCATCAAATTCATATACTTAAAAAGAAACTAAGACGATTGATTTGACAAAAAAATGGATGAACAGACATTAATGTAGATGGCATAGGGGCAAAAAATAAATTGAACCAAACTGAAGCCGGTGGAAAGACAGCTTACACCCGATGAAATTTTTATCGTTCAACAAATTGGATTTACTCACTTGTAGAGTTGTGTTAAGTTGAACCAACTTTATTAATACCGTCTACTTCTGTTCAAAGCTTTAAGAAGATAGAGATCATTGTGGCATGACAAACAACAGATCAACAAGCCCTGCCAAGTGGACACTCAACGGTTCCCCCCTGATTTAATTATATTCAATCCCAACCCCCCCCCCCCCCCCCCCCCCCACGTCTCATTCTTAACGGACATAATTTACACTATATGTTCAAATGCTATTTTTTCATTAATAAAACATGCAATATTTGCAAATATCAAGGGCATTAATAGCAGAAAACTCACTTAAAGATCGATTTAGACTCTTCTGGAGGACACTCTGCAGATACTTGATTTCATGCTTCAACACCTCTTCGCCTAAATTCAGTCAGAAATATGAGAAAAGAGGGAAATATCTTACGATGCAGATTATTCAAAAACTGCTTTGCCTGTGTAGGAGTAAAATAACGGAGAAAGGGCTTCAATTTCTTATTGACGTTACTAAAACAAAAAAGAAGGTGAAACTTATATGCATTTAATTATAAAGAGGTAAAAAATGGAATGTTTCATTAAAGCAAAAAATCTGGTAAAATTTCATTTGTTCTGATATCTTCAATCATTTTTTTTCTCAAAAAATGTAAGGTGAATATTATATCTAGTACCATATCTGGCAACGGAATCAAGATTTTTCAAACGAACCAATTAGTTAGAATAAATTTGAGCCACAAATATGATTGTCCAAACATGCAGACACAGTGAGCCTTAAAACCTAATGAGATTAAAAATGGCCAATCTAATAAATCCTGAACCCAAACACCTGGACCTCAACCTATGGTATCTACCAAACACAAATATCCACTTAGCCTATTTCACTAACCAATGCATATTTTTTGTTCTACCACGGTTAATATGCTCCATAGATTGCTTTAACATTATGCAAGTTAGATTGTGAAGTGCTTATTGAAATAATCTCGAAGAAAATACGACAGTAAATATGGTAAGATATAACATAAAATATAAATAAGGCTTAATTTAAAGCATTTCACCGACCTTCAAAAAAAACTATACTGAAAATGAGGAAAAGATGCCACACACCCAGAAGGGTTAAGCCAAACACGATGGATAAACCAATAGACCTTTAATTCTTTAAAAAAAATAAACCCTATTTTTAAAAAAAAACACTGAGTAAAGGATAAGTGGAAATGAAAATTAAACTAAAGCCTGAAATTGGCGTATCTAACCCGTTTGAACAGGATAATACCTACCCGATTCATAGATCGGTCAAGAGTATTACCGTGGAATTGCTTTTAAGAGGACAGGAAAGATTTACCCAGTTGGATATTTATTGAGATACCTTCGAAGAGGGAAACAACTAACCGGATAAATTAATAATGTACAAAAACTGGAATTTTACAAGATGATAGAAAATGTATTTATTTATTTCAAATGGCAGGCGTTTTGCTAGCTATCATTAGCCCTTTAGTTGACTTCGGGCTTCGCAGAGGGAAGGTTCATCAAAGTAGCAGAAAGTCGAGGAAGCGGAGCAGAAGAGCGATTCACAGATGTAAAAGAGGCAGAAAGACACAAAGGCAAAGAAAAAGGTAAGATGAGTACTGTGAAAGTGGTCGAATATGGCATACAGTGGGGCCATGGTATTTAGAAGTGAGAAGTCAACTGCCGGTTAATAGACTTTTTTAGCCGTATGAGTATACGTTGCCCAGGGTGCACCACGTGGAGGTAAGTCTATCACACACCCCTGATAGAAAATGTATTAGGATGAAAACAATGGAACTTAGATATCACGAACCAATAAATAATATTCAAATGTGGGGTGTGCAATAGACTCATCTTCACGTGGTGCATCCTGGGTAACGTATACTCATACGGCAAAAAAAGTTCATAAACCGGCAGTTAACTTCTGAGTTCAAGCTATCATGACCCCACTGTATGTCATATTCAACTACTTCACATTACTCACCTAACTCTTTTTCTACCTTCGTCTTTGAAACTCTTCATTTCCTCCCCCTCCTCTCGACTTTTTTTCACTTTGTTATTCCTTCCCCTTTGTGAAGCCTGAAATCAACTAAAGGGCTAATGATAGCCATCAAAACGCCTGCCAATTGATACAAATAAATATATTCAAATGTGCTTTAAGTCTTTTCAATATGCGTCTATGCGAATCACACGAATAGAATAAGGTAGTTGGGGGGGGGGGGGGGGGGGAGGGCAGTATAGTGAATTATTACATAAAGAGCAGTCATTGTTTAGGGGTAGCCTAGTCACTTAATTACTTCCTTGTAATTTTGCCGATACGTGCATTTGAGATACTTATATTCTACTGATTGTCATTACCTGTCAAAAGAACAGTCGAATTATACTTAGAGGATACACACAGTAACCTTAGGGACAGAGAGCCTGCGTATCATTCATATCCCAAGTTTTATAAAAAAACAAACAAATGCGCGAATACCATATGCATATAATAAAAAAAGGAACTTTTAATGACTTAAACCAAAAAAAGAAAATCTAGAAATCTAGAGCGAAAATTTTAAACTCTAGGGATGCAAGAAGACTAACTTTGCTAAATTATAAATTAACAAAGACAAAACTCACAAAGGATCGTAATCATCTAATTCTGATGCCTTATTCATCGTGCCTTGAGTAAGTGAAGTAACACCAGGAACAACAACCGGAATACCTCTTGTCGGACCAGACGACTGCAAAGCAAAAGGAGCAGCCAACCAACTGCCAGCGGGAGGTGAAACTGGACTCAAATGTGGCGTCGATTTTTTTCTTTGAAATCGCAACATCGGAACCAATTTATGGCGCTGCGCAGAAGTCAACTTCGACTCGGTCTTATAATGCTTTCGTTTGATCTTCTTATAAGTCAGATAAGCGGATATTTGATAAATAAGACCATGCAATCGAGCGATTTCTTTCCGTTTTTGGCGCTCCTGAAGTCTCTGAGTGTAGATATTTACATGAGCAACGTGAAGGGCTAAAGGGATTGATTAATTTGAAAGCATACCCCACCTACCACTTTCGAGATCATCACAATCCGGTTTGACATTCAATCGAGTTAACAAACTTTCCGCATCGTTATCATAATCTCGTTCAAAATCATCTCTCATTACCATGTAACCAAGGAGCTGTTGTTCGATGGGCTCTAATTGGACAGGTCTTTCTTGACCGACGGTTTTAAGAGGAGAAGAATGGTCGAGGACAGTGTTAAAGTCAGAAGTATTTCCGCAAAGCAGAGAGGCATTGGGTCCATGAAGATAAAATTTATCATAATGTTCAAAGCATTCCTGTGGGGTATGGCGGTTGCATTTAGCTGAAATGTCCAACCTGAGAAATTTATCCTTAAATTTAACTGAAATTTACCAATTGCCTAAACCGTATTGTTCCACAGCACATAATAATTCCAATTCTTCATTACCAGGCCAACCATTTAAAATGCAATCTTCTTCAACGCAATTTAGAACATACTAAAGTATGAAATTAAAATAAAGAATATACTTTGATCGAATATCTATGAGATCGTTTGTGATGACCTGCTTCAACACCATGAGGAAAGCACTAAAACTTCACTAGAAGGGGAAGCAATTCCTTACAAATAAACAAAGATTAACATTGTTGCAGTCTATACATTTAAAATATACGTCCCGGATATTTTGGAGACAGTACGTGCATCGACCAGCGACCATTACTGGGATTGGGCAGTTGGAAATAACATATCGTTCGCCCTTTGTTGTAATGGTCAAGGTTTTTAAATTCTGTAACATATTTCATTTAATAATTAAAGTAGATTTTAAATACTATTTTATAAATTAAATGTGATAAGTAGAATTTAATTTAAAAGCAATTCAATGAGTTTGTTCAAATATATTTACAAAATGAATAAATCTAAACATTAACATCTTTTTTAATTCAAATTTATTTATATACATCTTTACAATAATTAATATCAACTTCAAACGTAAATTGTAAATAATTTTCTTTTATTGCACTGATCTATCTTCACACAGTCCAATCTCCCTTTGTCGTAATGTCGTTTGTGCCTAATTTTCCACCATCTATTCTACGGAAAGTCGGTGATCAAGAAACCGATGATGGGAAAAAGAAAACAAAGGAAGACTTTAAAAGGATGAAGGAAATTGAAGAGGCCCGAAAGTTGGCTGTCATGCCAGCTATGAAGGATGAAGAAGGTCGCGACATTAATCCTCACATACCTCAATATATCATGCAAGCACCTTGGTATTTTGGGTCTCTAAAGCCTACATTAAAGCACCAGCGTATGCAAGATGAAGAGAAGAGAGATGCTCTTGAAGGTGCTGCCAGAGGTTCTTCTGCTCTTAACAAATGGTATAAAAGGGGCGTTCAATTGAATGCTCCTCGAGCGAAGAAGTTTCGTGAAGGCGCTTGTGAAAATTGTGGAGCTCTCACACATGATCGCAAAAATTGTCTCGAGCGTCCCAGAAAGGTTGGGGCCAAGTATACCGGCGTCGATATCGCGCCGGATGAATTCGAGCAGGAGGATATTAAACTCGGATATGACGCCAAACGCGATCGATGGAATGGTTACGATGCTCGTGAACATCAAAGATTCATTGCAGAATTTCAGCGGCTTGAGGAGGCGAGGAAGATCGTTAAGGCAAAAAAAATTGAAGAAAAGCTTGCTGAGGCTACTTCAAAGAGCGAAGAACAGGTATGTTAGTTTCACAAAAATATGTTCCCTATTTGTATTAGTTTTAATTATGGATTTTATGTAATAATGTTGATATAATAACCGCACCTTCGTGGCAGCCAATAACGGTGAATCAAATTTGTTAGCAGAATTCATGGATTCCTGTGAATTTATTTGTCATGTGCCATAGATATTGTCGGTATATGCTGGGTTGAAAAAGCATAATTTTTTAAACAGTTTGAAAATTGCATTATTATATCGCCATATTTCCTCTATCTTAATGTCGTCTGCGATACTTTTCATTTCGCTCCTTCGTGAAGGTGATTTGCATAGTTTCCAAACCTATTCAATATTATGATATTTGCTTCATCTTTCATTGCATATATTGTTTTATATTTATTTTGATATAACTTGCCATCGTAAATGGTGTTATTACTTTTTTTGCAAAAATTTTAGGAACCTGGGTCCTCCAAACCCAACTTAGATGATGAGGAGGGCGATGACGATCGTTACGGTGATGAGTTGGATATGCCTGGACAGAAATTCGACAGCAAGCAACGTCAGTCCATCCGAAACCTGCGTATTCGTGAGGACACCGCTAAGTACCTTTACAATCTCGATCCCAACAGTGCTTACTATGATCCCAAGACGCGTGCAATGCGCGAAAATCCTTTCGAGAATTCCGGTAAGTCAGAATCAGAAGTCCCTTTCGCTGGTGACAATTTTATCCGTAATGATGGGGACGCACCGGCAATGCTCAAGCGCCAGGTATTCGCTTGGGAGATGCAGAACAAGTTGGGTCTGGACCTGCATCTACAAGCTGATCCTACTCGATTGGAGTTACTTGCAAAGAAGGTCTCTATGGCTAAGGAGGAAGCGCATTCTGCAATTAGGGAGGAGATTTTGGAGAAGTATGGAGGAAGGGAGCATCTAGAAGCACCGCCGAGGGATTTATTGCTTGGACAGTGGGAAAGTTATGCGGAGTACACACCGACTGGACGGGTACTTAAGGGTTCAGAAAAGGCAACGGTGAAGTCACGTTATGAAGAAGATGTTTTTCCGAAGAACCACACGGTAAATAGTCTTTTAAGTTTTTGTCAAATTCAATAATTGATTTTTTCTGAGGTTTCTTGCGGCTTGATTATCGAAATTAGTCACTTTAGCAATTGCGAATATTTCTATTCAATGTTGAATGATGTTTAATTTTTTTCGCTAATTGTTCGTGGCTTATCTTTTATTGCACCTCTCTGTAGGTAATCAAATAGATACACAAATTAAAATTAATTTTGAAAAAGGAAAGCGAATTTCGTGCCTTACATTTAGAATGTTGTTTTGTTCATTACACCCTCATCAAGGCACAGAAGAGATCTAATGGTCGATTTGTTAATTTCAGATTATCCATTTGGTGCCTTGACAACTATGCATCTTGAATTAACTTTCTATCGCTCTTAATTGAAGTTAAAATTCTAATTAATGACATCTACTATGACATGTATGAAATTTTCCTTATACTACCTTGATTATGATTTAGCATTTTTATTAATTTTCAATACGTAACAAATTGTTCAAATTTAAAGGAGTAAAATGTATCCATCTTAACTTTTTTAGTCCGTATGGGGCTCATATTGGTATGCGGGCCAGTGGGGCTACCGTTGCTGCCACTCCCTTATCAAGGAGTCCTACTGTATGGGGGAGAAGGGCAAGGCTAACGCTGCACTCCCTAACACCATCACTCCCACTCCAAGCACTACCGCCACGACCCCTGCCGCTTGTAGCGATGCTGTTCCAAACCTTCCAGAAGTCCCACCAGATGCTCAAATCGGCTCCAGTGTCCTTGAGCCCCTTCTCTCCATCTCCCATTCAACAGAAGATCTCGTCGACCCCAAGAGCAAATATTCTGAAGTTCGCTCCGAGAGCGAAGAAGATGAGGCGAAAGCTGAGGAGAAAGCCCGTATAAGACGAGGGGAGTTTGAACGTTCAAAAGAACGTCGTAAACGTCGGGCTAAGAAGAGGAAAGAGAAGAAAAACAAGTCGAAATCCCGTCGCGCAAAGAAGCATAAGAGGTCAAAAAGGAGTCGTAGCAGATCATGTTCAAGCAGCAGCAGCGAAAGTAGTTCAAATGATAGTGAATTGGAAGATGAAGAGACTAAGAGGGAGAAGAAGGTGCAAGAGGAGATGGAGAAGGAGAGGAAGAGACTGGCTGAAGTGGAGAGACTTATGGCAATGGATGAACGCCAGAGACCCTATCATTCTCTCAGCGTGAATGATGGACATGTACCCACGCAAGAGGAAATGGAAGCTTATTATAGGTTGAGACAGGATCCAAACGACCCAATGACCCATTTTAAAGATTAATCAACTTTGTGCCCATAGTTTGTTAAATACTCTGAAACTGTAAATATTATGCACCTATTTATCTATATTCTTATAACCTCATTTTGTGTTTTGTAAACGTTTTTCTTCAGTTTGTGAATTTGGGATTGAAAGAAAGTGATTTGGTGCTTTAAATCGGTCGATGAGTGCTTTGTTTATGTTTTCCTCTAGGTAATTGATGCTGTTTCATTGGTGAGTATTTTCTTCGAACGAGAATAGCAACCCCTAATAGTAAGGTGATAAATTATCACCCTGAAAAGATGGAATGGAATTTTTAAATATGCTGTGTTGTCATGTACTTTTTAGCAACTGACGCATATATAATACACATTGACATGCCAAATTCTTATAACCTTTAAATTGGAACACGAATTCAATCGAACACACCTTGATCGGGCATTGAATTCTATGTTGATCTTCATGCGTAAGAGGTTTAAAAATATTCCAAGTTATTGACGCATGAAGGATGAAAAATATGGAACATGTTAAATTAGAGGGCAATTAATGAGTGTCGAAAAATATAATGCTTTCTGATTCTACTGATATAAAATTAGTAGAACGATTAATAAACTTTTGAATATCAACTATTATTTCAGTTATTTGAACAAGCATGACATTCTTTAATTAGCTACGTTGATTTCCAGCGGATTAGTGAATCTGGAATACCATTGTTCCTGAAGCATCTAGTCTTAGAAGACGCCAATCCAATGACGTTGTGGTAAACAAACATATCTGCTATGCCAGAGGTCAAAGGATCGATGCGCATCAATGAATATCTTGAGATATGGATGGTTAAGAAGACTGTTTAAAATGTACTCAATGAATGGACTCTAAATTTATGTCGCTCAGACAATTTGGAATGTGGGGCAGTGACGCTGATCGAGTTAGATAACAAATGGGGTCGCGAGTGAAGAGAACTCTTGACCAATCAATAATCAGTAGTCATAACATTGTCAACCCACCCAAAACAGTATTTACTAATTAGATTCTGTGCCAGTTTGCTATACAGGGGAGACAGACACAACCCCTGTAACCGTATTCTACCTCAAACATTCAGTTTCCTGTTTATGGTGGGGATAGCTATGGTACTTTCGGGAGCCATTCCGTACTAGAGGATTCGGTATCAAAGCACTACACTTTTTAATTATATATTTTTTTAAATTAAGTTAATGCAGTTAAAGTATGGAGCAGTTTTTTTCTTAAGAACCAAAAATATTTGAATTTTAAAACGTAGTTTGATAATATGCATATCGAAAGGATAAATTTCTTAATTCGATCTTTGATAATACTAGCTCTTTACGGGCACAAGAGGTTACTGTGAATATTTGAGGAATTTTCAGAAACTTTTTTGGAGTTTAGTTAAGATAAGGTATCTATTCCGTTTAATTTTGGTTTGAGGGATAAAATTAGATCCAATGATAATAAATTTTAATCAAAGGATTCAAAACTTGCATCCAGAATTGAGGCCAATTTTAGAGTTTATTTCTTCAATCGCATATTTGCTACGGAACTTGAAAAATGTATTAAATGACTAAATTGCAAGAAAATTTAGGGAATAAGAATTCCTATTAAAATAATCAATTTAAGGAAATTTACGTTCATTTTAGGGTGATAGCTAAGTGCCATTATTTAGCAAAGTCCTATTAAAACTTAAAACGTGAAAAATAGTTTAAATAAATAAATTTAATTTCAGTGCACGGTAACATTAATTTACATTTGTTTAATTTTCCACATCCCGGTCACGTACCTGAATTCAATTACATGATGATAAATCGCGGAAATAGTAAATTGGAGGCTACTGAAATATTTTGGGAATGAAAAAATATGTGAATTCAATTATTTTACAGCAATAAAAACTTGTGTTAAATGTCAAATTTTCCCCCTTCAGTTACCAAGTGAAAAAAACAATTGATTTCACCCTTAGAGAATTGAATATTTTCGGCGACTAATCTTCAGAATGGCAGAGGAGCTATTTCTAAAATATGAAACGAACATGCGATTAAGGTGAGATCTGTGTGAAGCTTTCAAAATATGGATCATTAGCTCGAGGTAAGCATATTGTGTAACTAAGAAACCCTTCTACAGGATCCAGGCCACGATTTTTACTGTTTTGCTTTTGGAAGTGCACCGGTCGGAAGTTACTCACCCACATGAACTTCTCAGCAGAAATAGAAATTTTGAATTTTTGTCCACGTTTGCGAAATTCCGCGTTTCTAATATTAGGTCACAGTCAACTGTCATTTAAAGATACTGCAAACCTTGAATGGATCAAGTCTTAAAGACTAGGTGGTTGCATGTCTCTTCTTTTGCAAACTTACATTGTTGATAGTAGGTTTATTTATTTATATCAAATGGCAGGCGTTATGAAAGTTATCATTAGCCCTTTAGTTGACTTCAGGCTTCACAGAGGAGGAGGAACATCAAAGTGAAACAAGTCGAGAGGGAGAGGGGGAACAGAAGAGAGTTTCAAAGATGTAAAAGAGGCAGACAGACACAAAGGTAGAGAAAAAGGTAAGATGAGTACTGTGAAGGGGTCGAATATGACATAAAATGGGGTGAGGGTAGTTTGAAGTCAGAAGTCAACTGCCAGTCAATAGACTTTTTGCCGTATGAGTATACGTTGCCCAGGGTGCACCACGAGGAGGTAAGTCTATCGCACACCCTATTGATAGTAGGTTAATTCTTAAATAAATTAGTTGTATGGGTTCCTTTGTTGAAGGCAAAAGTATAAAGTGTTGTAAATTACAAGACATGAATCCATCAAGTTGTTGAATTCTAATTGATTTTGTGCGACGTGTAAGGCTAGGGTTATGATGGAAATTAATTACTACTGCCGAAAAATTCACTAAGAATCAACAAAGCACAAATTTAAATCGCGCTTTATTCAACGAAATTCCATATTCTAAGAATTGAAGTATAGTGGAAAAATTAAACAAAGTTCATCGTTTCAAAGTACTTGATTGTCTAATTGACATGACCAATATGCGAACAGTTTAAACTATGAAGCACTTT